CAGCTCACTAGAAGCCAAACCAGGAGATGAACCAGATAATGTTGAGCCCATACCAACAGATGAACCAGATAAGGTTGACACCCAACCAGGAGAAGTTCCTGATAATATTGAGCCCAAACCAGGAGATGCTCCTGATAATGTTGAGCCCCAACCAGGGGATGAAACCAGTAAGGAGGGTGCTGCAAACAATGGGAAAGAGGAGGTAGATATTCACCTGTGATTCTGCACTTTGGTATGCAGGCCTTTGACAAGACCCTGGTTTCTTTATGTAACCATTCTGGACTGTATGAAAACTCTGTGATACTTAGATTTGAATCAGAATGCTTTAACACAAAACTGTTTTGCTGAGTTTTTATTTAGTATCTTGATGTGTGAAATGTCACAATTATTTTTTGGTAACGTTTCACAACAGCCTCATTTAGTCTTTATGCAAGAGAAGGGGTTCATGTTAGTCAATAAAAATACAATTGTTCATTGTTTGTTCACAGCACATTAACTAATGTCAACAGATACAGCTTTTGATTTTAAAAATGTGTTAGTAAATGTCGAAATTAATGCTGTAAAAGTACTGTTTACTGCTATTTCATGTTGTCTAATGTAGTTAACAACTGAAACCTTATTGTAAAGGGTTACCCATTTTTCTTTTATTCAGTTGTTTTTAATTTATTACATTTCTTAAGTATGTATTATGTATGTGTGGTCTGTTTCATGTGTATTATGTAATTGTGTCAAGCTACTTGACAAAAATGTACTTGCATACCTTACCTTTAGTTTTGTCGCTTGAGTTGCATGTTGAGTAATGCTGCTTTTTTTGCCTCACCTCAGGAAAAGATGCCCATCCCTTCTGTTGTTATTGAGCCTGCCTCTAGTAATGAAGGTGATGACGACCGTGATGGTGATATCACATCTCCAATAGCAACCAGTGGCAATGGGGTGATCACAGAATGCCAGACAACCAAAGACATCTCCTCTGGAATGCCTCCTGGATACCTTTTCAAGGTGGATATAAAGCAAACACCATTTAAGTAAAGGATAAAGTACAGTCGTACAGTTATTTTGCAACAATTACCTGCTGACGGTCGCCGTGATTTTGCCAAGTAAGACATGTTCCTGGATCAACATCTTTTGTTGATCCTGGATCAACATTACCCTCCAAAAATACAGACACAACATCTTTTGTTGATCCTGGATCAACATTACCCTCCAAAAATATAGACATAACCCAATCCCTACCCCTAAACCTAACTTTACCCATAATTTATTCCCAAAAACAGAGGGAAATGATATCTGATTAACAAGGGTGTAGAAGCACCTAATCCTGATTGTAAGCCTAAAACTGACATTTCCTGAAAAGTTATCTCTCAATTCTGATTGGTTGATTGGAATGATGTTCCAGGATCAACAAGGATGTTGATCCAGGAACATGTTGTACTTGGTGAAATCACGCTCACCACCTGCTGACTGTACATAATTCTGCTAATTATTACTCTCCAAATGAATAAACGTGGTCATAAAATATTGTTCCATATTCTAATATGCAAGACTTACGATTTATTAGTAATTGTAACTAAAAGAATACAAAATGCAGTAAACGGTAAAAATAATTTGTCTCTGATTACGATTATAAATGTAATTTATGAAAAAACATAATATGATAACAAATACCAATTTGCAACATCAAGCAGCATAATAAACTGTTTTTGTAGAGCTACAATAACTGTAAGCTGCTGAAACCGGAAGCCTTGCACATTCAACTTAAAAATTATTGCACTAGCGGTTAGCTTAAAAATAACATGGATATACAGTAACCTTAAAGCTTCCTCTAAGAAAAAAATAGCCCATTACAGTATACAAAAACATTCGGCCAAACAATAAGAAGAACACTGCAGAAATATACTGTAGTCTTCAATCAACTACAATTGATAACTGAGACACAAGATGGCGCCGCTTGCGTTTATAAAAAGAGAGACTAAAAGAAAGTGGCGCCAATCATAGAAAACATGTGACCGCCAGATGGCGCTATTGACACACCAGAATAATGTATTCTAGAGAGCCGTGTAGTGAAAATGAACACAGAGCTTTAATGTCCATCACGTTTCTTATTCTTATGCTGTCCTGTAGGTTGAAACGATGCATGATTTTGAAGCAGCAAACCCAGACGAACTGGAGCTGAAGAAAGGAGATATTGTTTTGGTAGTACCCACAGAGCTAGCTGAAGATCAGGTATATGATTTCTCTTGAATGTTTAACTTTTGTGTTATTCTCTTTTCTTGTGATAATCATAACCTGATTTTGATGCTCATTTTGATCTTTCTTCAGGATGCCGGTTGGCTCACTGGCATCAGAGAGAGCGACTGGCTACAGCATGGCACCTCGGCTCAGAAAGGACTGTTTCCTGAAAACTTTACACAGCGTCTGGAGTAAATGGGTTGAGCGTGCCGCCAGAAGGCGCATGGATCTGGACGTTTGCAGACAGAGCCAACCGCCATGAAGTCTAATGTACTGATGACAGCTGTCAGTCAGACTAGGCATATACTACATTAAGAGGAAATAACACAACCGACTAAACGAAGCAAGAGGAGACACAAATACCTACTCAGAGCATAAAGAAAATAACCAAGCATGACGTGATAGTATGGTCAACCTTTTCTCGCAAACCATGATAAAATCCCTGTTTTTTGTTTGTTTACCTGTGAGCAGCAATGAATTGATGTGTGCTTTGTTGGAACTCTGGTGACCTCCACAAGTAATCCCTGTCTGTCTAAAGAAGAACTAAAGTGAGAGTTTCCCCTCTAAAGACAAAAAAGTAACCTTATCCTCTCTGCACCAAGTGTATTGTATTGACTTTGTTGCTCTGCAGCTAATTTTATCAGAATTTGTAGTGATATGATCTATTTAACCATTCTAAGTGTTACACAAAACTTAGGTGTTTTCTTTGAGATATTTCAGATATAAATGTGACATTGCATCATCGTTAGTGTTCTCTGTAGTTTCACGGCTGGCCGTGCGCGGCTATGGTGGTGGTATTTGGCATATGTTTGATGTTGACAGTTTATGGCCGAGACTTTCAGTGTTTATGCCAAATAATCAAAGTCCTCTTGATGAATATGGATATGTGTTGAGTTTACAGCATGAGAAATGTTGTGAGAAGAAATCTGAAATATTGCACCTGGCTAATACAGCAAAACACAACATGTAGCTCCCTATAATTAAAGACATTATGTGTATTATATCCACAAGGACATAAATGCAGAACTTATCCTTGAATATGGACGTGGAAATATTAATTTGTGAATGATGTTTTATGTTTGGAGAAATTGTATTTATTCAACTTTATATTTTTTAAGCCAATGATGAGAGGGAAAGTTTGGGGTGGGAAATCTAAAAAAAAATATGCAATATATGTAATTGGTTGATAGAGTAATCATTGTCTTCATTGTTTGGTTCTGAAACGAAAAAACAGCATCACTCCTGTGTTCGTATTGTTAGCCTCACTGTAGAGCATTTCTGTGATGTACATATCTGTGCTAATTTAACAGTAAAGTGAATAAAGAATAGTTCATATGAGTTGTGGTTCATTTTCACGAATGGAAACAGCATCAGTATAAATATCATATTTACATACTGGTAATAGGCCCACAAATTATAAATCACTTGTTTTATAATCAGAGTAGAGCATTTAAAAACACTGTTAGTGTAGTTTAGCTAGTATACGATTTTTTTAATTTGTTTGTAAGGACATCCAATGAACGCAAGGGGGAGACATTTATCTTTTACATTTCTTCTTTTCCAGTGAACTTTTGCATTAGCAATGTGAAGCTGCTTTCATTCATTTTAAACAAAGACACTTATAGTAAGGTTTTTAGTTACCATGAAATAAATATGAACAATACTTTTACAGCATGTATTAATCTTAGCTGATGTTAATTTCATTGACATTTTTTTTTAAGTTGTAGACTATTAGTCTATTACTTTGAAGTAACATGAACATCAATGAATAACTGTATTTTTATTATTTAACATCAAAAAAGATGAATAAATTCTAAATATATATGCTCACTGTTAGTTCATGTTAGTTCATGCATTAACTAATGTTAACAATTGAGACCTTAATGTAAAGTTTCAGCAAAATCTGTTATCGAATTAAATGTGTATAACTGTCCACACATTGGGATATTTTAAGAATCTTAGTAGTTCAAATATCCTGTCGATAAAATACACTAAAGATCAGTAATTGAACAAAATGTCAGTGTCAGACTTAAAAAAAAAAAAATTAAGCAATTATGTTTTCAGAAAACATTTGACAAAATAACTTTGCTATAAGAGACACTGTTCAAAATTAAGACGGAACCAATTTGGACACTTTCTGTATGTTCGAAATTATTGGTTCATGTCTATTGTTACTGTACTATACTAGCCTACAAAACATCTGGCCCGTCAGTTTTACTATAGTCTTACTATAAAATGTAATTAATTAAAATAACCTTAAGCACCGGTATCAACATAATCATATAAAAAAAGTCTCTCTGATAAATTGTCATATCTTACAGATGGGGATAGTGTGACAAACTGAAAAAAAAAGCTATACTTCAAAGTAATTTCATTTAATATAAAAGGCTCATGCGGAATTTGATTAACACGATTTCTAAGGTAACTCGGCCCGTCAGTTTTACTATAGTCTTACTATAAAATGTAATTAATTAAAATAACCTTAAGCACCGGTATCATCATAATCATATAAAAAAAGTCTCTCTGATAAATTGTCATATCTTACAGATGGGGATAGTGTGACAAACTGAAAAAACAAATATTTTGCTATACTTCAAAGTAATTTAATTTAATATAAAAGGCTCATGCGGAATTTGATTAACACGATTTCTAAGGTAACTCCATTTCAGGAAATGACATCAGCACCCCATTTTTGAAGTTCATACAAAAGCAGTGTGAAAACCTCAAAGACAGCATTGCACCAATTATAAACATTTTTCACCAGATGAATGATGTTTTTATACATTTATATAGTCCTCCTTTTGGAGATTCCAGGTAAGTGACATTTATAATAAAAAGAAAATGTAAAAAATGTAAACTTTTTTAAATGTATTGAAGTTTATTTTTGTTTAATCAAAGCAGCAGTTCTGGGAGTGACTGTGGATCAAGGTCCAAAGGCTTTGGTTAAGGGAGAGGGCAAAACTGTGTATCTGCCCTGCAAAGTGACTGGTCTGGGCTCTTCAGACTATATCCATTGGTACCAAATAAAAGAGGGTGAAGCCCCATCGAGGCTACTCTATATCAATCAAGGAGGTATTATTACTCTTGATACCAACAATCCCCAAGCAAATGACTTCACCGTGGAAAAAACAAAGCTTTATGATCTAAAACTGAGAAACACTCAAAAGAGACATGCTGCCGCTTACTTCTGCACCTACTGGGACTCAAGCAGCCACAGTGAGAAGATTTATTCACATTCTGTACATGAACTATACTGGCAAATGTTGAATGCAAACATATACTTGCACTGTCATTTTCTGTTTAAGTTCCTAATTTGACTTGAGCTGTGTATGCACAGGCTGGGTGGATGATCTTATTTTGATCTGTTTAATTACAATTGCCCTGGTGTTAATGGACACATTATACATGTTTCTATGAGGTGTTTTGTACACACTATTATATTTGTGATTTTGGAATATTGCAAGTGTATCTAAGTTGTAACATGCCTCAACATTGTTTTAAAAAGATGAAATATGTCATTGCTATTTGTCTAGAGATTATGGGTATTTAAGGGTTTGTAATGTTCAGTTTGATGAAGCACTTGCTTGAAATATCACTTGTCAGGGTTATTATAGTTAACTAAAAACTGAAATCATAAAATATTTATACATTTTGTTCCTTAAAATACTTGGGAAAAAATCCCACTAAAATAAAATAAAATTAAAAACACACTTACTTTATTTCAGCCAAGGCAACATTTGTCATTTTCATTTAGTTTAATTTTGTGTAATAAAATAACTCAAACTAAAGCTGAAATAAAAATGAATAAAGACATATAAAGACAAACAAAAACCAATAAAACTGACAGAACAACAACAAAATTAATAAAGTATATCAAAATCTCAATGACACTAATATAGCACTGGTCCTTGTGTGGTGAAAATGAATTCTGGTAGCAGCAGTGTGCAGACTTTAAGCATTTCACTTGAGTTGTTTATCAAAAAATTGGAAAGGCCCTGCAAAAGTTACAAATCTGGATTACTAAACAAATAGTCTAACTGAATAAATGCGTGAATAGTATCATTTAAAATAGATTTTAGTGTATCAGTTTATTTTTAGACTCTTTTCATCTACATATCCCAAATAATATCACAGTGCCATTACTATTTATTTATTTACTTATTTTTTAAGCTTTATTCAAAACCTCTTCACGTTTGAATCCATACTATCCATTTTACAAAGAAAAAAAGAAGAAGGGTGCTATTGAGGAAGAGGCAGCTTTATAACCCAAAGCCTAATTGTTGTTTTAAATTGCACGTGTTAAATGAATGTCGATCCCCATCACCCGTCATTTATACAGATTGTTTTAGTTTGTTTCTTGCGATAGTGATGACGACGTGATATGTGCAAAGAGGAAACCACGAGGCTATTATCATTACCTTCTGATTGGCTGATGCACTTCATAATTCTTCAGACTCCTGGACGACAGATGTAGACATGGCACTGTCTGGAATGATAACATTTGGGTTGCTAGTAGTCTTAATTGGTGAGATTTTAGTATTATCTTATAATTATTAACATTTCTCAATCACAATTACTCACTATTATTAATTTTAAATTAATATGATATCTGCATTGATATCTGCTCTGGATAAGGTTTTTTAATTAACTTTTCCGTTTTTCTCATGAGGTTCGTCTCGCACAAGCGAATTGTCAGCTATATTGAAAACATTTTAAACAAAACAGTTTTTGTTGTATAGGCCTACTTGTGCTATAGGCTACGCAAATATAGTTTACAGTCCTACCGTTTTATCGGTGTAATGTTCATTCTAACAGAAAACGCTCGAGCAGCAGCTGCTGTTCTTGAGCTTTTATTTAGTGGGTTCTTGTGTTTAAAGTAGGCTAATATAAGTGTTTAATTGCGTGTACACACGCAACGCATTTTAATGGTTTCTTATGGAAGCGAATTGTCAGCTATATTGAAAACATTTTAAACAAAACAGTTTTTGTTGTATAGGCCTACTTGTGCTATAGGCTACGCAAATATAGTTTACAGTCCTACCGTTTTATCGGTGTAATGTTCATTCTAACAGAAAACGCTCGAGCAGCAACTGCTGTTCTTGAGCTTTTATTTAGTGGGTTCTTGTGTTTAAAGTAGGCTAATATAAGTGTTTTATTGCGTGTACACACGCAACGCATTTTAATGGTTTCTTATGCTTTTAGATTGTTTAAATGGACAAATTACGCACCCTGATCCTGTGATAATTAAGGCAAGTGGTAGAGCAGCTCGAATCCAATGCAAAGTGGATTCATCGACCCTTCAGTCCAGCGTTCTCCACTGGTACAGAGCTCCACCAAAGGGAGCTCTCCAACGATTAATGTATTTCGAAGCTGGTTCGTCAAAGGCCAAAAAAGACCCCGACACCCCCCGTAGATTTTCTGGATCGGTGAATGGTGATCTAGTGGCACTGACTATCTCAAAACTGGAGCTCAGCGATGCCGGCTCGTATTACTGCGCGCTCTGGAGTGGAGACAACACAGTGCTAACTATCAGAGGAAATCATTACAAAAACCTGCTTTCATCATCAAAGCGCTTTTATTTGGAACAGCAGCAAGGAGGAGACATTAGACATATTTTTATTGTGATGTTGCTTTTTGTTGTCAAGATTCAATTAAAGAATTAGGTTAAATGTTCCAAAAGTGTATTGTCTCAGAAGAAAGAACCACAATGTTCCACAATGTACAATGTTTGTTACTGCCTACTGTACCATATTGACTGTTAACAATAATAAAACTGTGTCTCTTCGACTAATTAAAATGTGATTTTGTTTCAACACAAGTTATTACTTTATTGTTGTATGTCTTAATTCAAAATTTTCTCAAATTTCTTTTATGAATAGGTTTTCTTTTTATTTTACATGTCACAGTTCCAGATCTCAATCTTAATTTTCAATCATTTTCATCTTAATCATTTTACATTTACATTTAAAATAACATTTGTTTTAATCTTAATCATAATAACTATGTTGACAATTATTTCATTTTATTTTATGTAAAAATGTTAAATAATTCAGATCATTCAAATTACAGCTGTCCCACAGCTGTGGCTAACTGCCTCCACAATCAACATTTTTGCCCATAATAAAGTTCTATTAAACATTTATGGACATGGTTACAAAAAGACAAAGAAGAAGAAAAAACGAGACATGATGTGTGAAGAAAAAAGCACCTAAACACTTGATGGAACAGAATATTTTTACTCCAGTCCGGGAGTTTCGTTAAGTCTCCAAAAAGTGTGAAAATATTGTTTGATTGTGTGCATTTATGATAAATAAAAAGCTAGCTAATCCACTTAGCAAGACAAATGGGTCAGCCATTTTATTTTAAAAAAGAAAGAAAGAAAGAAAGAAAGAAAAAAAATATGACATATGGATAAAATATGTTGGAGGCCCACAGCTTTATAACCTAAAACTGAGCAACACAAAACCGATTCATGCTGCCGTTTACTTCTGCGCCTACTGGGACTCAAACAACCACACTGAGAACATTCACACACATACTGTACATTAACTTAAGGATATTGAGAACATTCATTAGATTTTACTCTTCTAAATATATAAATGTGACATCTATTCTTAGAGCTGATTTTTCATGTAAACCCAATTTCCAACGAGTCCAACATGCATCCTGAAGAGCATATTTGTGACATTTGAACAGTTGTTTGTTTAACATGCAGATCTCCAACAGAGGATGGTGCTACTCAACTGCGAAAGAGGATTTTCAGGTTTAAGATGAAAAGCATATATATTTAAGATGAGATATCATACATATCAGTCAGGTGTGGTAGAAATGCACCTGTTTCACATATAGAAAAAGAGCACTGACATTTATCAGAGCTCCACCTCAGGAAATGACATCATCAAATGTATGTGTGTAGCTGAACAATTTTCTGTAAGGATTTTTGCAAAACAGTGTAAAAAAGTGTACAGGAAACTTTATCATCTTGCATAACAAAATGAATGACGCTCATTAACTTGTGCACTGTTGTTCTCATAATGGAGCTTTAAAGGGGGTTAAATAGATTAAAATAGGTTAATACCTTAATAATCATAAATCAGATCTTAATAATCCCAATATAGTGGCACCCAAAAGTAAATGGACACTTGAAATTCTCATTATTTTACAGAACACATTTTATAAAATAACTTATAGCTATTAGCAAAACCAAAGCTAAATTAAGGATACTCGCTGAAAATTAAACATTACATCATATTCATGATTAATAATACTAGCCTGTACTAAAAAATCTGGCCCGCCAGTTTTATGGATGTATTTCATTATTTGTGTTTTTGTTTGTTTGTTTTTTCCAGCTGTTTTGTTTCCCCCATACATTCATATCAACCTCATTATAAAAGAATAATTAAACCTATCTCTCAAATGGACCATTGACACTCTATCTACAATCTCAATTAGGAGTGTCAATTGTCCACTTGAGAGATAGGTGACAGTTCGGACATTGCGGGGAAAATCAGAGGTAAAAAACTATATAAATACTGTTCAGTTTCTTGCACAGACCGATCGTTTCGTGTATTTACACATCAATGTATCGTCATGAGCCGCAGGGTTTAATTTGGTTTTGTTTGTGTATGTTTTTTGACTCTCAAAGCCGTGATTCCCATCCACTGACATTATAGGACTGACAGACTCTTTACTTTATCATTGTGACCAATTTAGCAATAGCACTTATTAAATACATACACACTGTGAAAAACACAATATATTACTACGTAATTATATCATAGTGCTCTTATTGAATGTTGTTGATCAGAATTTTACTCAAAACTTCACCTGTTTATGTAGCGCCCTCACCACCTGATGAGGGGAGATGTGAATTGTTAATAAAACACAGGACACGGAGCTGCTGCTTCACCATCAGAGTCTCTTTATTTTTTCTGAGCAGCGCGCCCCCTCCCCCAAACAGGTGAACACTTCCCAAGGGAAAATAATCAAGCAATCAGTGAATCCTTCAAGGCTGAGCAGGGAACATTAATCGTCACAGATATAACACTATAAAGTGCATTCGGAAAATACATTCACTTGTTTTAAGTTCAGTGTTACTCTAATATAATTTATTTGCAATTTTTCTTAGTTTTACACATTTATTATTATTATTTTTAAGACCACCACATTTACCATATTTGAATCCATAGCGCCGCTGAGGAAGAGCCGTTTGCATTGATACTGTATCTGCTCTGGAGAAGGTTTTAATCAGGGTTAAATTGCGCTTTAAAATTACACGTGTTAAATGAGTGTTGATTCCCATCACCCATCATTTATATAGATTGTTTTAGCTTGTGTAAAAAACGACCAGATATGTGCAAAGAGGAAACCACAAGGCCATTATCATTACCTTCTGATTGGCTGATGCACTTCATAATTCTTCAGACTCCTGGACGACAGATGTAGACATGACGCTGTCTGGAATGATAACATTTGGGTTGCTAGTAGTCTTAATAGGTGAGATTTTAGTATTCTGTTATAATTATTAACATTTCTCAATCAAATTTACAAACTGTTATTCAGAGATTTATGACTTTTAAAATGCATTTCCACTTATTTCGTGCATGTTCAGTTTTTCTCTTGAGGTTCGTCTCGCACAAGCAACTTGTGAGCTATCTTGAAAACATTTTAAACAAAACAGTTTTTTGTCGCATAGACCTACTTGTGCTAAACGTAAATATAGTTAACAGTCCTAAAACACTCGAGCAGCGTACAACTGGTTTACTCAGGAGGGAGCAACTGCTGTTCGTGAGCTTTTGGGTTCTTGAGTTTAATGTAATGCCAAAATGTAAGTGCTTCATTGAATGAATACACACTAAGCTCATTTTAATAGTTTCTCTTATGGTTTTAGATTGTCTAAATGGTCAAATTACGCATCTTGAACCTGTGATGATTAGGACAAGGAGTAAAACTGCTCTAATCAAATGCCAAGTGGATTCAGCGACGTTTACGTCCAACGCTCTCCACTGGTACAGACTCAAGGATCAAGCTTTCCAAAGATTAATGTATTTCGAAGCTGGATCGAAAGCATTCAAAAAAGACCCCGATGCCCCCCGTAAAATAACTGGATCGGTGAACGATGCGGAGAAGGATAAGCCAGTGACACTGACACTCACAATCTCAAGACTGGAGCTCAGTGATGAGGGATCGTATTACTGCGCGCTCTGGAGTGAAGACAACACAGTGTTAACTATGAGAGGAAATCATTACAAAAACCTGCTTTCATCATCAAAGCGCTTTTATTTGGAACAACAACAGAAAGGAGGAGACATTAGACATAATTTAATTGTGATGTTGCTTTTGGTTATAAATATTTTATTGAGAAATTATGTTAAATGTTCCAAAAGTGTCTCAAAATAAAGAACTCTAAACACAATATTTGCTAGATATACTGTTGACAAAAGGCTAAAACTGTCTCGTTGGCTATTAAAAGAATGTAATTTTTTTTCAACACGTTATGTTACATTTTTGTTATATGAAGGTCACATTAATTAGCCTACTTAAAAACGTTATACACTATCTTAACTTTTCTAAAATGCATTAAATGGATAGATTTTGTTTTTATTTTACTTGTCACAGTTCCAGATCTCAATCTTAATTTATGAAATTTATAGGGACAAAAATTACATTTCCATTTAACATTTGTTACAAAACTGTTAATCTTAATTAGAAACTATGACGACGAATATTTATTTATTTATTTATGTACATTCAAATTAAAGCTGTGGCATCACTTCCTCCATAATCAACATTTAATAAATAATATAATATAAAATAATAACGTTTTATGGAAAAATGTACGGACTTGGTTACAAAAAAAGATGGTGTCACTAAAAAGCACGCTTGAAAAGAAATATGAGACATGATGTGTGAAGAAAAAAATAAAGGTAAACACTTATTGTACAACATTTTTTATTCCAATCCAGTTTTATTCAAAAAGTGCGAAAATAATGTTTGATTGTGTGTATTTACGATAAATACAATGCGAGCTAATTCACTTAATTTTAACAAGACAAATGGGTTAGCCATTTATGGAAGCCGTTTCCGCCACTGAATAAAAAATAAAAGAGGTAATTGCGACTTTTTATCTCACAATTCTGACTTTTTTTTCTCAGAATTGCGTGATATAAAGTCAGAATTGCGAGTTATAAAGTCAGAATTGCGAGTTATAAAGTCAGAATTGCGAGTTATAAAGTCAGAATTGCGAGTTATAAAGTCAGAATTGCGAGTTATAAAGTCAGAATTGCGAGTTATAAAGTCAGAATTGCGAGTTATAAAGTCAGAATTGCGAGTTATAAAGTCAGAATTGCGAGTTATAAAGTCAGAATTGCGAGTTATAAAGTCAGAATTGCGAGTTATAAAGTCAGAATTGCGAGTTATAAAGTCAGAATTGCGAGTTATAAAGTCAGAATTGCGAGTTATAAAGTCAGAATTGCGAGTTATAAAGTCAGAATTGCGAGTTATAAAGTCAGAATTGCGAGT